CACAACTGATACAATTATACAAGACCACAGAGGAAATTTATGATTTTTTATGTATATTTTTTACTCGCAAAACTTTATCATACACTTTAATAACAACATTATTATGCAATACATATTTTCATTTCAATTATGCTTATTGGATTTAGTTTTAAATGAAAGAAATACTTGATAGGTTTATACAATATATTTTTGTTTTTGTTTAGTTATGGGTGCGCTGGCGCGATTATAATACATAAAGAGTGCATATCATCTGGTTTAGAAAACTCTGTACAGCGGCGCACACATAAAATTAAGAACACAAATAATAACAACAAAATGTAAACAATCAAATTAAATGGAACAATCGTTGAGGATAGCTGTTTGTATTTGCTCTGCCATTACACTGAATTGTTTTTTTGGAATGCCAACAAAAAATCGAATTGTTCTCTCAATGCGTTCAATGGGCTAAGGGGGTGTAAGGGGAGATAGACGGAGGTATGGGCTAAACAAGAACTTAGTTTTAACAGGGAGCAAACATGCGCTCAGGGGTAGCAAAAACAAACATCGTTGTAAGTATGGTGGAGAAGTAGGGGATCAGGTTGGAGATATAAATCCCCATACTGCTCTTATTGTTAGTTAAGGTCTCAGGCTGGCGGCCTAGCTAAATTATTTGTTGTGTGCCTGTGCATGGATGACTGATTGTTTGGACCACTTAGGCCTTGCCGGTGATGGGGGCGGCACCTTGTTTCTGGTTCTCGTTTTCCTTCTCCAGCTGCTTGCCCAGGTATTCCCTGATAAATACAAAGAGAGAAACAAACGCACATTGAATATACAGCGAATTTTGAGGATGTGCTTGGTAATGGATTGACAACGAATGAGATGAGGATCACAGCACCTATATGCGGATTTGAGGGTGGCATGAGAGGATGGGCATTCTAAATCCATACTAACCAGTTGTGTACCATCAGCTTCTGGACGGCCAGCAGGGCTTCATATCGCACATTGGGATCCTCGTGGCCCAGATGCTGCATCACGATCTGTTTGCCTCCCAGCTGCTCCAGCACACTAAAATAAAATGTTTGTTAGAAGTTTACTATAGTGGGTATTTCAGATAACTATACTGTATACTCACTGCTTGCCGCGAGGATAGTGGCGCACGTACTCTCCGATGTCAAAGCAGGCGACAGAGAGGATGATGGCGTCCTTGGAGGTCTCCAGCAGGTGGACAAGGATACGCAGCAGCTCGTAGTTCTTCTCGTTCAGGCGCTGGGCATTCTCGCGCCAGAACTTGGCCGACTTGTGGACGGGCGACCATTCCAAGCGACCGCTGCGCACCTCAGTTGCGTACTCATCAAAGGAGCTAAGGTCCTGCACGGAGTTCTGGAGTTTCTCACTGAGGTACTCCACATCGGAGGTAATGTCCTCATCGTCGAAACGGCGCTGCTCAAGAATGGATAGCTGCTTCAGCACCTTGCACTGGACCATGGCGATGCAATGGTCCTTGGCCACCGAGGAATCCTCCGGCTTCTCGATCAGATTGCGGAAGACCGCGAGGATGATGCGGGTCACCTTCTCCTTGGCACAATCGCTGAGGATATCGGCTAGGATGGGGATCACGCTGAACTTGTTCATCTTGGCGGCCAGCAGGGGATTGAAGGTCAGCACCCACAGGCAGAAGATCAACTGGTATTGCACCTATGAATAAGAAATCGAATTTAAATTGTACCAAACAATTTACGCATTTCAATTTCAAACTCACCTGGAAGTTCACACGGGTCGAGAGGATACGGATCAGAGTGCTGATTCCATCGACGCCCACAAAGGCGAATCGGTATTCATCCACGCGAAGCATCATCTGCAGGCAACGGGCCACCGATTGAATGTATTCGTTGTTCTATATTAATGAAAACAATTTTTATTAGTGTTTTCTTAGATTGGACATTTCTATTTTTTGTTAGCTTTGTTAGTTATGACGATATCAGCTGGAATCTATTTTTCTCTAGCTACAACAATGATCATTTCTATAAGCTACATACAGTAGAAGTAACAAAGTGAAATAGAGAGTGGACAACATATAAAAAGAGCTGAAGATGCAACAGCAATGGGGGTTCGAACAGTTCACCTTATACCATTGTTTTGTAATTGTGTAATTTTAGTCGATTTTCGTGTAGCTTTCACCATCACATGAACCTTGTATTACCTTTACACCACACTGATATGCTTGCATACACTGCTTGACAACACTGGTTGCTAAGTCCTTCGCGCCGGATTCATCTAATATTTCCTCACGCGCTAGTTAGTTGGGTTAGTAAACAGTAACGAAATAGACTAAGAAATACCACACAAACACACGGATCCCAGTCGAAAAAGGTCGATTGAGTACTATAACAATGGTCGTATTCGTTACTTTTTGCAAAACCGAATAAAATATCTATACAAATTTCCATTCGTTGAAATAAATAAAAACTAACAATTACCAAATGTTAAACAGGTAATTGAATTGCGTTGTAAGGTGGTTTATACAGGCTTTCAAATTTTAGTTTTTTAATTTGCATTATTTTATCGTAACTGAACTTATCGACCATGGTTCTTCGTGTATTCATTTATGTTTAATAGTTTATTCGTGTTTTTGTGTGTTGTAGTGGGTGGGTAAGTGGATGTTTGGTTGTTTCGGCGAGTGGATTTCTGCGAGTTGGGTTTGTTGGGTTTAATTTTTTGGAATACCGGTATCACACTTTTGCCGTCCTGCTGCTGGTGGTCACTGCTAGCGCCCACCTCCCGATAGCTCTCGTTGGCCCTCTCGGCCAGCTCGTGCTGCTGCTGCAGCTGGGCCAATGTGGGACTGTACTGGTGGCCATGGTGGTCTTTGTCTTTGCCATGCTGTCCATGCGAGTGCACAATGATCGTTTGTGTCCGCTTGGCCAGCTGGGCCATCTCTTGCAGATAGGCTAAGCTCTAGGATGGGTTCAGAGGTCGTGGGGGTGGTTCGTCCAAAGACATCGATTCAATCGAGCCATAGATGGTAAATTGCATATAAATTAAAATTTTTCTCGGGTTGAAGTGCAACGGAACAGAAAAATACGATTGATGGACAAGAACACAAGGTAAATAACAAAATTATATTCGGGTGCTATTTGTGACACATGACACACGACTGCACGTGATGATCGGTAGGAGTGAGGTGGCGGAATATAACCAGGATAATTTACGGTTCTGATATGAAGTGACAAGATTCTGAGTGCTAATGTATGGCATAATGTTGACTCCTCATTTGCAGAGATTTAACGAGTATTTCACCAAGACGAGGTCAGTTTCGTTTGCGGTTTAGACTTGTACGAGATCAGTTTGGTTTAGTTTCAATTGAAATAATCATTAAGAGTATATACAGAAAGCAAAACTAACAAAGCATGCAGAAAGCTGAGAATTAAGTTTGTTAGATCTGAGCAAAGTTGTTATTTTCCATACATATCAAGTAGAATATGTTTAGAAACTTCCGTTTGTTAGTTCATATTCTGGTATAGAGATTTTTTCTATTTATAATAATAACATAAGTCAATCAATCGAGAAACATGCTAACTTATTATGTTAAGTACAAACGTTGCAACTCATGCTTTATGTTGACTGCCTTATTAACAACTCTATTATTTTATTTTTTTGTAATTATTAAATTTCTTCTATATATAAATAAAATTCAAGAATTGCACTGAAGTCAGGAGGAAACTGGCAGGATTTAAAACACTTTATAACCAGCAAAGTGTGCACAGGGAAATATTTGAAATAAATTTTGAATCTTGCATGACTTTGATGCTTGAAACGCAGGCCTTTTTGATTTATCACCAGAGTAAGAATTGCTTAAAAAAGTTGCTACATATTTGCTGCAACTGCATTCACATGCTTTCCTGGCTTTATATACAGATCATAGACAACATAAACATGCTTTCAGAGGGCTTTCCTCCATAAACACGCACGCAGACTCACATTGCTGGCCAGCTGATCCTTGAGGAACTGCAGATAGAAGTTCAGATCGGACTTGGGCATGGTCTCGTGGCCCCAGCAGGCGAACTTGGCTAGGATGCGCGACGACATGTTGACAATAAATCCATCCTGTCGGTTCAGCAGGTTCAGAAACGGACCCCAGATGCACTGCTTCAGCTTGCCGGCAGTCTCGTGAAACAGGTCCACGCGGGAGCGGTCCTCCTGCAGCAAATCGTCGAGCAGCACAAGAATGTACTGGATGGTCGAGTCCTTGGACAGGTGCGAGACCAGATTGAGCAGGGTCTTCACCACCTGGCTGGAGTTCTGGGCCAAGTAGCTGGCGCGTGACTTGTCCAACGCACTAATCGCCTTGTAGTCCTCCTCGCTGATCATCTGAGACTGCATGTAGGATGCCCAGTTGATCGTCCTGGTGCGAATGTCAGCCGCCTGCTGCTGCAGCACCGAGGTGGCAGCAATCATATCTGCGATGGGGTTATCCAAATACTCAGGTTAATGGGGGTGTTCATGTGATAGGGTGGCTCTGCCCAGCGCAGCACCCCACAACCCACACACTCTCACTTCGATTTTTCGCAAAGGTCGACTGCGCTGGAGGGGCGGGTGGGAAAACTCACCAATGTTTTCCTCGGGCAAATACAAGGCGGTAGTCATTTTGAGGGCTTTTTGCAACGACGCTCGGTGGACACAAATTCAAGCACAGAATTTATGAAAATTTATCAAATATTACCGAGTGTTTTTCACACTACTGCGACAAAGCACCGAAATTCAGCTGACTGGTCTTGTGACTTTTCTTCAGTCTTCAATCGAATATTCGATTGGTGGCAATCGACAGGTGAATAGAGCGTGCTAACGAAATATCGATAGGTTGAGACTGCCAACGTGATTTTTTTTTTCGAAAATAACACATTATCATTGTAAGTTTAAAAACTTTTTTTAATTTAATTCAGGTTACATTCAAAATAAAGTTTGTAGACCCCGCCACAATAAAATATATTCTCTATTATAGTCAATAAAATTGTATTTACAGTTTATTTGGTTACAGAACTACTTGAGTCGCTTGTTGCAATTTCAAGTTTACATACATTTTGGTGTTTTTGCATATTGCTATTAACAGTAAAGGACTTTGAACAGTAGTTGCACTTATACGGTTTTTCCCCAGTGTGAGATCGGATATGAATCCTGAGACAGCTACCACGGGAAAACTTCTTTTGGCAAAAATCGCACTTGTGGGGTTTTTCCCCAGTGTGAGTCTTCATGTGCCGTCTGAAATCAGATTTGTTCAGGAAGGACTTATTGCAATCAGAACATTTGTGGGGCCTGTCTTTTTCATTCTTAACTGTGTGGGTTAGCAGATGGGCCTTGAGATGATGGGTGCGCAGAAAAGCCTTTGAACACTTATCGCACTTGTGCGATCGTTCTCCGGAGTGCGACAAAACATGGTACCGAAGGGCATAGGGACGGGCATACGAGTTCGGGCAATGGGGACATTTATAAGGTCGTGTTTCCGAATGGCTCAATAAATGGCGACTGCAACTAGAGGCGTACGGAAAGGACTTGGGGCACTTGGGGCATTTGAAAACTCGGTTCGAAGGATTTGGTGCTTGCTTGGTTTTCTCGGATTGATCCCTAAAATGACTTAAATAATGGTCCTTCAAAAGTCTAGCATCCGAGAAAGTTTTGGGACAACGAGAGCAACGGTACTTTTTACCGTGGTGTCGAGCATGCAACTTATAGGAATCTTCGTCTTTAAAAGTTTTTGGACAATAATTACATTTGTAGGGCATATAAGGAACGGGTTTTATCTTTGATGCAGGCAAATCGGATTTCGATTTATTTTTTTTTATCGCCGAATGGGTAAGAACGTGTTTTTTTAATAGTGTTACGGTCGGAAATGTTTTCTGGCAGTGGGAACACTTTGATCGCCTTTTCACGTTGGACTTTTTTTCTGAAGCTGACGAACAGACGTTCTCTTCGTACGAGGAGGAGCCTATATCTGTTTCTGAAGACGAAGACTTTTGTCCATCGTCCTCATCGTCACCTGAGTGGGTCAGAATGTGTTGACTAAACTTTGAGGCATCCGTGAAAGATTTCGGGCACAGGGAACACTTATAGCGCCGTTTGCTGCGGGAAGGTAAGTTCGGGTTAGGTAAGCTGGGTCTGGTCTCAAGATCGGTTAGATCTGTCTCATTGACTTCTATCTTGCATATTTGTTCATCGAAGAGATCTTGATCCTCTGTCTCGATCGACGGATCAATCATGTTGCCTATTGTTTTACAGACTGCCTGTACGAAAACTTCGTCCTCAATTGGCTCGTTCTTTACCTCGTATTCTTCGGTCATGTTTAAATTCCCTTTATCTATAATTTCAAGATTGATTTTAGTTCCCTGATCTGAAATCGAATCTTGGCTGTCTGAAATTTCGTAGATTTCATCCTTTTCAATATTTTGGTTAGGTCCAAATGTCGCTCGAGCATCCTCCAAGCAAGTTGGGCAAATGGTTTCCGGGAGCATATCCCCCTTTTTAACTTGGTAGCCGGACCAATGAGCAATCATTTCTGCAATTGAGATTTCTTGGTCCTGCGTACTATCGAATATATTAATCATATCGCCTTCCTGTTGCAGGCACACCCGGCAAACTTCGTCCTCCTCCATTTTCCTAAAAACCAAGTAATAAGAAAGGGATAAAATTCCCCGGTAAGCTACACTCACTTTAAGTTTTTTTTTATTTTAAGTTGTCAGCTAATGTGGAGTTATTTGTTTACTTTTATTACAGTGTAACCGTGAACCAACTGTTAAGATATACCATACTCAAAAGAATTCTAAGTATGACCAAATCACAACTTGAATTATAAAAAATGCAGTATTCATTTCATTGCAAAAAAAAGCGCTGCTTCAACAAAAGTGTAAATTGCAATCCTTTTCCGAGCTGCGAAAACGGAGAGCGGTATCAAGGAAGATTTACGGGACTAGCTGTGGAGATACCGGATCCCGTTCAGGCTAAGAATCTGTATGACAACGGTTGTTTTGGCAAGGGAAGCAAATCTCGTGGCGGACTGGCTTCTGGTGACGAGGATGAAAAGCTGCTCCTGGGAATGGAGGAGTCCTGCTTCCTGGCTTACTATTTGGAAGTTTTAGAAATAACCAGCTTGTCCGGTAGCGCCATTGATTTTCACCTTTTTATGAAGGCTGCCAAGGAGCTAAATGCAAGATTTGTGGAGAACTTGGCCTGCTATGTGTATTTGAAGTCCAAAAATTGGGTGATCAAGAGTGGCATCAAGTTTGGCGGTGATTTTCGTAAGTGTTTTGTCTCTGGTATGTACAATTTCCATTTATATTATTTATATCACCTGTTTCAGTTATCTACAAGCAAAGCCCCCGTTTGTATCATGCCAGCTTCTTAGTTCTGGTTCAAACTCCCAGTGAAATAGAATACTATCAATCAAAGAACTTAAAAGGCATTCAACGTGTGGCGGAAACTTCGGATAAGGATGTACTGCTTTTAATTGTCAATCACGCAAGCGATTTAACCAAACCCCTGGATCTTGGGAAAACCACAGTAACGGAGACAATTGTGCGGCGTTTCAATTACATAACTTTTGTACAAAGCAAACAACAATAAGGAACTACTATTGAAGGAGTCTACATTCTCTCCAGGCGATGCTTCTTTGGTATCCCGGTGCTTCGATAATCAGCCCGTTCCTGAAGATATATCTGCTTACACTCTTCTTTAAAGGCTTCGTTTTGGTACCATTGGGTGAGGCAATCCCTCAGGGCTGAATTCTGCTTCCGGCAGGTGGCCACCATTAATATGCTGCTGGCCTTGCAGCACTCCTCAAAATCAGCGACTTCCTTAGAGCAAAATTCCGTCTTGGCACGATCCCGCATTATCTTGGGTATCAACACTTCCCGCTCCACTTTGCGCAACCTAGTATCGTTAGGGTCACCTATCGGGAGGATAATTACTTTAAGTTTTTATTGGTTAGGCTTTAAATTCACCAAGTCCATGGGGATTGTGGGGGTCTACAGCTGGTTGTTGATCAAGGCTCATTTTGGGTTAAAAAAATACTATTTATTTTGTGTAACAACTTTCAGAGTGACTGCACAAGGTGTAGTCAAAAATACTTTGAACATAAAAAAAATACCACCCACGCTGAAGAAAATCATTTAAATATTTAAAAACTTAAAAAAAAAACAACAAAATTTAATTTTTAGGTGCCCATTTAAGGAAAGTTTAAGAAGTATATTTCATTTATAGAAAAATGTGATTGATAAAACATACCCCTAATATTAGAATACAAAAAATATGGTTGAATCTCTTCGTACCAAAGTAGCCAAAATCCAGCCGTTTTTTATTACAGACTTTGCATTTAGAATGCTCAAATAAAAACCTAACTAAGCGGACGCGTTGTATTCGGAAAGGCTCTTGGCACTGATAGGTTCCAGATACCGCACACCATCCTTGTCCACCACTGCGACATTAAAGTTCTTGAGGTTGACGACCAGTCGCTTCTGAATCTCGACAATGCACTTCTTAAAGACATCGTAGGCTTCCTCCTGGGTGATGTTGGGGTGCCAGTAGCGATCATAAATGCTGGATGCGAACACCGCACCATAGCCGTGACCGGCATAATTGAGGGACTTGGCATTGGCCAGGTAATCAATAAAGGTGAGCTCGGGACCGTCGGTGGGATCGTATCTAGATGATAAAAACAAATTAGACGAGAAGTAGAAATAACTAAGTTATGCTTACCCCGCTACAAACATGAACACCTGGTAGGGCGTGCGACTGCGAAGATATTCCGCAAGGTTCTTGCGCGTAAAATGCGCCGCCGCATGCGGACTTAAATCGTATCCATTGCGCATCTTGTATAATGCTATGTTTTTGGAGATAAACTCGGTAAACTGCTCCGTATCTCCTGATTCACCAGTTGTCGATATAAGCAGATTATCCGAAACCTTATGGATTTTGTTCTCATCTGGAAAAAGTAAAGCCACCAAATGAGACACAAGCCGCCAAGAACATCGAGGCCCATTTGCTTACCCTCCTTCATCACGATTATAGAGCGGGCGTGGGTGGTGTCCGCCGCCAGCATTACGAAGTCGGGACCCTTGATACCCAGCAGTGTTTCCATCTTGAAATTATTTATGTACTTTTCGGGCTCTCGTGAAAAATTTTAAGCTGTTTGTGAGTTGCCGAAATGCAATGACAAGCAATAGTTAGGTGCAGTGTGGCCCTGTGCGGGTTTAAGAATTCCCTGAAAAATATACTAAATAAATATTTCCTTACTTGAAAGCGAAAAAAAAAATAAAATGAAAAACTCTATACATCTTATATAAAATATAAGAAAAATAAATAATAAAAATATAAATAATTTAAATTAATTAGAATTTAACAAACATTCTAACTTAAGTATTCTTGAGCTGGCCACACTTTTCCCTTGTTATCAGCTTATAATTTCACAATTTAATTTACAAAAATCCGCAATTAAATATTAATGAAATGGAAGCACCTCCACCGGAACACTGTCCTGGCGTGGAAAGTGAGCGGGCTGGAAAAGAAAGCGCCTGTGCCGGTTGTCCGAACCAGAGAATCTGCAGTGATCCCAACAAAAAACTTGAGGATCCGGGCAAAGCTTTAGTGGCTGAATCCCTCAAAGATGTTCGACACAAGCTGTTGATCCTCTCTGGCAAGGGAGGCGTGGGGAAGAGCACGGTGACCAGCTTACTGACCCGATACCTAGCCAGAAGCTTTCCGGATAGTAACTTTGGCGTCTTAGACATCGACATCTGCGGTCCATCACAACCTCGTTTGCTGGGCGCCCTAGGGGAGAATGTGCATCAGTCTGGTTCCGGCTGGTCACCAGTGGGAATCGACGACAATGTCTGCCTTATGTCCATTGGGTTTCTGCTTGGCTCTGTGGATGACGCCATCATTTGGCGTGGTCCCAAGAAGAACGGCATGATTCGGCAGTTCTTAAGCGAGGTGGACTGGGGCAATCTTGATCTTCTACTGCTGGACACACCGCCTGGCACCTCTGATGAACACCTTTCCGTCGTTTCCTACCTCAAGGACGAAAATAAACCGGATTCTCTTCGCGCCGTCTTGGTGACTACTCCACAGGAAGTGGCTCTCCTGGATGTACGCAAGGAAATCAACTATTGCAAGAAGCAAAATATCCCCATTGTGGGCGTGATCGAGAATATGAGCAGTTTCCGTTGCGGAAATTGTGGGAATAGCTCGGAAATCTTTCCCGCCAAAACCGGAGGAGCTGCTGCTATGTGTGCCGAAATGGGAGTACCGCTGTTGGGTTCGCTGCCTTTGGATCCCCAAGTGGCTAAGGCATGCGATTCTGGCGAAGATATAACTACGATCAAAAATACTACTACCGAGGCGCTGGAAGGGATTTGCTCAAGAATTATGGCTAGCTTTAGTTAAGAATGCGAGGATGTAGCATAATAATAACAAAACTTTTAAATAAAAAATAGTGTCAGTAAGACTGTGTTTATTAATTATCTAACAATGGTTGGCCACCGGTTAATATATTTTTGACGCTTTAAATAATTGTCAAATTTAATACAGAAAATGGCTTAAGATTTACTAACATTCATAAGTTTTTTTTTCTTAAAGAAATAATTATTTAAAGATAAATTAAAAATTGACCCTGAACAACTCAGCTGTGGCCTTTATATTAAATTAGGATGTCTAATATTCATGTCAAGGTTAAAACAGTGCTGAAAATCGAAGCAATTTGCAGTTTGCCTATAATAATTGAAGTAGCCTTGTAATAAGATAATACACTAAGCTGGAGAGCTGGGCGGACTTTCCAAAGATACACTCGTAGTTAGTCTTTGTATGGCATTTGGGTGTTCAATGACGTCCTCGATGACGGTGCGCTCCACACTCTGTGCAAGCATTGTACTTTCCATGGGTGGAGCGAATGTGGTTTCCCTTCCAAAACCATGGCTTAACTGGGATGATTCTTCTGAGGGTCTGGCCTGGGATTCCTGAGCCTGGCTTTCTCTTCCAGTATTTTCATTTGGTGCGGAAAATGTGGCTTGACTTTCAATTTGATTATTTACGAGGGTTGGCGATTGGTTCTCCTCGTTCCCGGGAAACAGAGTATTGTCCTGAGCGATTGCTCCGCCTACATACTGACTATTAGCGACCACGTGCTGCTGAGTGGGAAGTTCGGGCGGGTGGTTTCGCACGCAGATGGACTCCGTGCAGTCGCTGAATTTGTATATACCCACCACATAGTTGGACAGCTCAAACATGTTAACACGGAGGGAAACAATAATAAACTGCGCATTCTTTGTACGCTCCTAAAGACAAAAATTCCGGCATTAGAACACAAAAGGAAACGAAATCAGAGGTATAGTTACCTTTATATAGTGCCCCACAATAGATACATTCTTAAAGTCCAGAGCCGCATCGATTTCATCCATAAAGTATAGCGGCGAAGGTTTGTAATAATGCAGGGCAAATACTAGGGCTAGGGAGGAAAGAGTCTTTTCGCCACCTGAGAGATTCGAAATGTATTTCCAGCTCTTCTTGGGCGGACGCACCGTGAAGTTAACGCCCTCGGTAAATGGATCCATGGAGTCCACGAGCTCCAGCTCGGCATCGCCGCCCAGCGTAATCATTTGGTACATTTCCTTAAGTTTTCTCGTAATGATGCTAAAACCATCCATGAATTCCTTGTACCGACGCTTTCGCACCTCCTCATATTTGTCGCGCATCTCGTTTCTCTTGGAGGTGATGTCCTCCAGAACACGCACACGGTCCAAGTATATTATACGTTTCTCGTTGAACTCCTTGATGCATCCCAAGTTGGGCTTCTTTGTTTTCAGATCTTCCTCGAGCATGGTTTGCTTATATTGGAGTGCTTCCAAGGTCTCTGCCTCTAGCTCTTCTTCATTGAGTTCTTTGAGGGGCACCTGTGGCTCAGTTTCTCCAGGGATCTCGTTCAGCTTTAAAGGTACCAGTTGCGACTGCCATCCGGGAATGTCTGCTTTCACCTTGTTCATTTTTCCCGCCGCCGCCTGCAGCTTTGTGTCTATTTCAACGCGCTCGAGGTTCCTTTTGTTTTCCTGCTTGGTAATCTCATCTATTTCTTTCTTAATATCGGAGGATTGGGACTTGGCGTTCTCTATTGCTGAATCAGCTTCCTCGGCTTCCTTTTCTAGCTCCTCCTTTTTCTCCACGCACTTCTGGCGATCCTCGCTCAGGGCTCTCAATTTCTCTTCAGCAGCTTTAATGTTTTCCAGAAGATTATTATTGTTTCCCGTGATCTTTTGAATGTTGCGATCAGCGGAGGCCAAGGCCACATTCAAAGAGCGAACGTTGGCGGCCAGCTTTTCAATCTGGCTGCTAACCTTCTTTATCTTGGCCTCCACGGGCTTAACGCTTTCGTTTCTCAGGTCGGTGTACTGGGTTTGGATCTCCTCAATTCGACTTGAGACAGCCTGTTCGGCGAGCTGAGCTTGCTCCAATTCTTGCTTGGCTGCCTCGATTTGCTCCTCTCGCTCTTTGACGGCCCCTTCGTCGGTTGTCTTCTTCAGCATTCGTTGGCGCTGCGCCTCGCATTGTTTCAGGTTGCTGGCCATTTGCTGTTCAAGGGAAGTAATGCTCACTGCCAACCGCTTGTACTCTGCCTCGTCCCGCTGATGATTCATTCTGAGGGTCTGGATCTCGCGCTCAAGACTGCCCTGCTGCTCCTGGCAGTAGTTCACCCGAGTCTGCAGCTCCTCTGCCTTAATTTGCATTTCTTCTAGCGCCTTCTGCGACATTTGCGAGGTGTCGGCCGATTCTGCCGTCTTAGTGCGTACCTGTGTGCCCATCTTACCGCGCAATGGTCGATTGCCACCACCGGACATGGTACCAGTCATCTCGATCATCTCACCGCGCAAGGTCACCACTCGGTAGCGCTCCCTTCCGTATGCAATGCGAGTTCCCTGTTCCAATTCTTCGCATACCAGCGTATTGCGCAAAGCAAAAAAGAAAGCTGTTCTCACACGATCGTCCTCTACATTTATCAGGTCGTACAATCTAGGTACATTCTCTGGTCTGCAAAATAAAAATAAATAAATAAATATATCACTTAACATTTAAGAAATAAATGTACAACACATACGTGTTTATTTTAGAATTGGCATCACGACGAAAATGATCAATCTTGTCCAGCGTAATGAAAGTGGCTCTTCCCACGTTGTACTGCTTCAGCGCAGCAATGGCCGCCGCTGCAGTGTCGTAGTTATCAGTGACAATGTTGTCCAGGCGTCCACATGCGGTCGAAATAGCCACATCGTATTTGGCATCTATGCCACCCAAGTCTCCCAAGCGACCCAGGATGCCTGGTATTTTCCCCTCCATCTTCATACGCATGAGGAAGTCAAGGACTTTGTTGTTCGAACGCTGAGCTTGCATTATAGTCGATCTTTCATTGATCTAAGGGAAAGATTATTAACAAATAGTAAACAAAAAATAATTAAATACAAATCAAACTTACTTCTGTTTTCAGTTTGTTGCACTGCATGGAAAGGTTTCGTTCTTCTTTGACCATTTTATCCACCTCTGCTGTCTTGTTGGCTATTTCCGCCTTCATGCGTGGAATGCTTTCCTTGAGTTCATCCACTCTGGTAACTTTTTCCTCAAGACTTTTTTGTGACTGCTCGTAGGAGCTCTTTAGGGTCTCATATTTCCTAGACTCTGTGGTCTCAGCCTGTTTCAGGATCTTTAACTGCGATTCAAACACCTGCAGCTCCGCCTTAGCCGAGTTGACCTTCTCCTTTAGACCGACCAACTCGTCACTGAGCTTCAAACGCTTCTCGGTCAAGGGCGCCGTGGTTTCGGTCAGCTCTGCCTGACATTTTTCAAGCTCTTCGTTCAGTGACACCTTATTCTTTTCCAAACTCTCCAGTTTCTTATTGCATTCTTCAATCTCTTTTTGATTTTTCTCCGGTAGCTTGTGGAGATCCTCTAACTCCTTTTCGTTTTTCTCGATCTGGGCCTTGTCCTTCTTGCGCTGCTTGTTTGTGTTCTCCATGGTGCTTTGGATTTCAGTATGTGCTCTATCGACGGTCACCAACCTTTTCTTGATTTGTTCGCGATTCTTCACTAAAGATTCGTAGGCTCTGTAATGAACAATATTTAAAAATATTCCTTAAAAATAAGACAATTTTTTACTTACTCAATTTCCTTTCGAATGATGGACTCCTTTTCAGCCCTTTCTTGTTTTAGGGCAGCAGTTCCCTCGTCGAGGGTTTTGATCTCCTCCACGAGGGCTTCGTGCTCCTTGGTGTACTGTTCCAGCTTGGTCTTTTTGATGCTGATGATCTTTTGGATGTGAAAGGATTTTGTGCGTACCAGCTCATTTTCCTTCTTTAGATAATCGACGGCCTCGTTGAACGGTTGCTCCAGATCCTTCATTTCGCGCTCGGCCAGTTTGCAGCGGTTGTGCTTCTCCGTACGATCATCAGTAAGTTGTTCCACTCTCTGGTTAATTTGCTGCAGAGGGCGAATGTATCGTTGAGTTCCCACAATATCCTCCAGATATTCCAACATGCCCGTTTCGTTTTCAGCCTGCCCCTTTGGCTTCATCATGGCAATGGACTCCACTTCGCCCTGGAGGATGAGGAAACGATTGTGTTCCAGATCCACATGGTGTTTTTTCAGCAGTTTCGCCACATCTTTAAGTTGGGCCCGCTTATCGTTGATCTGATAGTAGGAAGAGTTGTCAGCCATGGCTGTGCGTTCGATGACAATGCTGGAGTTCGGGACATCCTCGCAGGTGCCATCACCCTTGTCCACGATCTGCTTGAAGTGAACAGCCACCGAGCAACTCCGGAGATTTGGAAACTTCGACGAGGAATGGATTAAAGTAGATACACGCTTGCAGCGGATGCGATTTGCGCGGCAGCCGAATACAAACATCATGGAGTCGATGACATTGCTCTTTCCACTGCCATTCGGGCCAATAATGGCCGTGAAACTCTGGTGGAAGGGTCCCAGTTCGACTTCGCCGGCATAGCTTTTAAAATTCACATTCACGATCTTTGCGATGATCAGGCGTGGCCCAGTGCTCTCCATGGAGCAATGTGGCGGCACCGGTGGCGGGATGTATATATCGCCGATTCGGGTGCCACCCTCCTCGTCATCAAAGATGAGGGCGTCATCCAGTGCGTCCATGGCGGCGTCCTCCTCCTCATTTTGTTGCTGAGCCCGCAATTGTTGTTGGGCAGTTAATTGCGGCACCCGGAACTGGCCGCTCTGGCGTCCTCCACCGGCTGCCTTGGGCGTTCCCTTGCTAGGTCGCGCCTTTTGCATCTTTTTCCGTTATCGGGAAATAGTTTAAACAAAGAAATTACAGCCAATCCTCTCAAATTACGAACGAATTTTTTCAGGCGCCAATGGAATTAGGACGCTAACTGCAGTGAGACCAGCGTTTTGTACTCCGAAAAAAACCTTAAAGCAAGTCCGAAACATGTAGAGAAAAAAAGTTGGCAGCTCTTTAATTTAAATTCAAAAATATCGTTACGTCGGCCCTAACAACGGAAATTTTAAGCAAAATCTATTTCCGTAAATGTAAAAATTTGAAATGCCATTATAACGTAAAGTTATAATTATACTAAACCGTCATTTTAGAATTGCAATAAAGTTGTCTATATTTGCTTATAACTCTAAGAGTGTATTATTAAAAAATAATAATTTATTTTTAATGGTCAAGGAAATAAAGGGAGACAGGGAACGTTAAAACGATTTAAAATTACCAAACGCTTTTATTATGAATAAAATAATAATAAATAATAATCTAGAAAACCAAATTTTAAAAGGCACTCTCTGCCTCTCAAAACTAAAGCATCACCCAAAGCGAAGAGCTTTCTCTGGCGGGCTCTCTACTACCCTCTTGTTAGAGAAATGCCCAAATATATAATACCTCGGCTGCATTTGGCCCGACTTCAGTTACAATTCGACTTTGGCCTGGTGCGGTTCCGCTCGCGATTTTCCTTAGTTTTCCCACTCGCGACGCTAAAAAAATATTGGACACACGACGACACGCAAAGTGGAAAGCAGGCTGAAAAATGCTCTGCCCGGGGGAAAATGTAAATGTAAATGGCCAAACGGGTTTCACAGTCAAGGTCGTCGCTTCCGCCCAACGACACCGAATACCGTTATTAACGCGAAATTCCGTCTGTCACCCACTGCTCAGTTTGTTCATATTGATGATAGTGATTATGTCGTCTTCGCTGGATGCCCTGGTCATTGGTAATTTCACCACTTTTGTTCGGATTTTGATTGGATTGGATGCGTGTCTCGCCTTTATTTCGGTTTTTGGCATGCGCATGCGCGCGCGCATTGGGTGTGAAAGTTGTCGATCGGAGTTATATAACAAACGGGGAGCCAAGTTTTTGGACTGTGTCCCCTTGCCGCGCTCCAAAAAAAGCGTGTGCATTGAACCCCATGACAGTTGCTGAAATTTTCCTGACCCGCTGCCATGGCCTCTCCAACTCCCAAGATGATAAATTTACTTTCTAAATGCTGCAACCGCCCAGCTGCTCCGGCTAACGATTGCGATTGAGATACATACACAGACCACAGTCAGTCGGACTATCTGTTATAGCCATATCTCGTCGAGATCGCATCTTGCATTTGGCCAACACGCGTCGCTTGCCCAATCGCCTGAGTTACGATCTAGTGCGGCACGGCTACGGGCCATTGCTGCCAATCCATGATGCAAACGCATTTCAGTTTATCCGCCGCAATGTGGCACATGGATGGGGCGTATTTTGGAGTGGGTGGAGCAGTGGGAGACTCTTTTTTCCAGTCATCCCCTTTTCCAGAAGCTTCAGATTTATCACAAAAAGGTTTTCTGCAAAATTAAAAACCTTAAGGTCATCAAAAAGAATTTATATAATTTTGTATGTTTTATAGACCTTTATGTTAGTTAGATTGGTGGGTATTCTCAGCTATACAATTATTCCTTTTGTTTATGAGGTAGTATTTCGTGACTAGTTTTAGTATAAATCATCTTGGCGTTACCATGAGCAAAGATCATCGAGATAATGTTAATCGAGGTCTTAAGCATATCAAAAAGGTCATCATAATTCAACTTATTTTTTAGGCACTTTAAAATTAGTAAGTGGAATACATGTTTCCTTGAAATTTGTCCAGTTTTTTTTTTATTCATTCCAAGTGGCGAACGTGGGCTTATGTCGTGTTTCTCGATCATAGCTGGCCATTTGCAACTATGTAACCTCCCATTCCAGTGCGTGATTGGTATCCAGCTGAAAGAAAAATCAGAAACAGAAACATTGCTGCAATCGGCAGGCAATGGCTAATTTTGGGTTGACGTGAGTGGTTTCGTTTTTGGGTCAACGCATTAATTAGTCTCCTTGTTAATTACACACGGCTCTCTCACACCCAGTTTATGTGTGCCTGCTTTGCAGACAATGATGGAATAATCAGTAACCAGACTCGGCACCGTCGCTCGACCTCCGGAGCACCGGTTGCTGCAACTCCAGCCAGTTGCATGCAAGATGCGCGTTTCTACCGGAATCCAAACAGGCCGGTCCACAAGATCTGGACGAACAGTGAGTGCGCCAAGTATTTCCTCTGTCTCGATGGCGAGGTGTTCGAGTTCAAGTGCTCCGAGGGACTGCTCTTCGATGTGGTGCGTCAAATCTGTGACTTCAAGGCAAATGTGGATAATTGCGATGTGAGTGCGGAGACACCGGCTCCGAAACCACTTCTGGAAATGGCCGACTGTGCGGATGAATACCAACTGGGTTGCGCCGATGGCACCTGCCTGCCGCAGGAGTACTTTTGCGATGGGTCGGTGGATTGTCCCGACGGTTCCGACGAGGGTTGGTGCGATGTGGAGCACGACCCCAATGCGGCGGGAGCTTGTGATCCCCGGAATTGCCAGTTGCCTCAGTGCTTCTGCTCGAAGGATGGCACCCAGATACCCGGAAATATTCCGGCGCAGAGTGTTCCGCAGATGATCCTGCTGACCTTCGATGATGCCATTAATCACGATAATTGGGAGCTGTTCTCAAAGGTTTTGTTTACCCAGAACAGGAGAAATCCCAATGGGTGTCCCATAAAGGGCACATTCTATGTCTCCCACCCGTTTACGAACTATCAGTATGTGCAAAAGCTGTGGAACGATGGACACGAGATTGCTGTGCACTCAGTCACGTAAGTGTTTGCCTTGCAGCAGTTGCAAATCAGTGTTATTAAAATAAATACTCGCTTTAGCCACCGCGGGCCCGAGATGTGGTGGTCGAAAAATGCCACAATTGAGGATTGGTTCGACGAGATGGTTGGCCAGGCGAACATCATCAATAAGTTTGCAGCTGTCCGAATGGAGGAGATTCGGGGAATGCGCGTTCCCTTTCTTCGCGTCGGCTGGAATCGTCAGTTCTTGATGATGAAGGAGTTTGGCTTCGTGTACGATTCTTCCATGGTGGCGCCACACTCGAATCCTCCCTTGTGGCCCTACACCTTGGACTACAAGATGCCGCACAGCTGTACGGGAGTGAATCAAAATTGTCCTTCTAGAAGCTACCCGGGCATTTGGGAACTGGTGATGAACCAACTGGAGGCGGGCGAATATATGTGCGGTATGGTGGACAGTTGCCCGCCGCATTTGAGTGGCGAGGATGTCTACAGAATGCTGACGCACAACTTCAAGAGGCATTACCTCAGCAATAGGGCGCCCTTTGGCCTGTATTTCCATTCCACTTGGTTCAAGAAAATCGACTACCTAAATGCTTTCTTGGTAGGTGTTAAAAAATGGTGATTGTAGCTAGAGTTAATTATTTTCCTATTGCTTAGAAATTCCTTGATGACCTGCAAAAGCTGCCGGATGTGTACTTTGTGACCAATCAGCAGGCGATTCAGTGGATGCGCCATCCAACGCCCAGCAATCAACTGCATCAGTTTGAGTCCTGGCACTGCCAGCCCAAGGATTTGGATCCCCATGAGCAAGTGTGCAACCTGCCCAATGTCTGCAAAGTGCGGAGTAGAGTGCTCCAGGAGGATCGTTTCTTCTACACGTGCATGGAGTGTCCTGCCCAGTATCCCTGGATTCGCAATGAGTTCGGTTTGGACTAAGGTGATAGCCCACAAAACACTTAAGTGCCTGTAGATTGTTGGTATGGCTTCTACACAATATTTGAGGTGGTCAAATTTCGAGATATAGGTGTCTAACATTTTAGAAAAAATATTTATTGTTTTGATTGATAAGAGCTAAGAAAATTTACTTTACAAGGAGCAAATATTTGGTTTTAAAATCAAGCTTCAACAAAATATTAACAAAATTTCAATCAACATAGAAAACATTTCGTTTAAGGAAAACCCAAATGTTATTTAGAAGTCTAAACCATTTTCGCGGGCTGACAAATGCTGTACTTCGTGGCCTAGTATAACTAGATTTAAGAAATAATTTATACGTATGTCTCCGCTAAATATATTTAAATGATTTCCACAAACGCTTTGTACTTAGTCTAGACCTGGAACCTCCAATTATTGCGTTATAAAAGGATTGGCGATGCTCTCGACTCCGTCCTGTGGACATATGAGGACCAAAGCTGTGCCTCGACACACGACCAATCCCAGACTGCGCGTGGAGTCTTCGGTTAGTTTGTAGGGCTCATCGGAGTCCCTTAGATACTCCACAGTGTTGTCCAGCACCAGATTAAGAAGCGCATCGTAGCCTTTGAGAATTCCGGATGCCTCGCGGCCGCCCGCAAACTTCACGCGGATCTGTTTTTCAAGATACTTGGACAGGTCCAGGATCGACTCCTTGCGGCGCTTCTCCTTGCCGTCATTGTTACCGCCCATCTAGAGGTTAACATCTTATAATAAAGAACTAAAATTTATAGCTTTAAATATTCTACCTTTTTATCTGCCATTATATTTTTTTGTTGTTAAACGCCGGCTGAATAGAAGTGACCGTTTTTTAGATTGCTAAAAATTACCACAAAAGTTTTGAACATTAATAGCAATGGTATCGCTGTTCCATCTCTAACTTACAGTTCCATTGCTTGGTATAAAAAAATATCGGCAGAATCGATAGTATCGTTCAGTCATCGGTTTTTTTCCATCTCTGCTGCTCTCCATTTTGTTTTCCACGGCGGAATTTTTTTGCTACATAAAGTTAAATTTTTACACCAATTACCCGACCGTTTTTGTAAATTTAAGTGTTTCAAATTTATCTTCGCATAATGGGACGCAAGAAGAAGAAGGCCTCCAAACCCTGGTGCTGGTATCCTTTTCGAAAAACTATCAACAAAGTTCATTTTCCACGGCATGTGCCGCTGGCTGTATCTCCACATACACACAAATTTATATAATTGTGTTGGTTTGGTTGTGTATAGTAGGGGGTCCACATCTTCAAAATTTTTTTCCTTAACTCTTAACTAAAAACTAGGTACTGCAACCGAGAGTTCGATGATGAGAAAATTCTGGTACAGCACCAGAAGGCAAAGCACTTTAAGTGCCACATCTGCCACAAGAAGTTGTACACCGGACCGGGGCTCTCCATCCATTGTATGCAGGTGCACAAGGAGACAGTGGATAAGGTCCCCAACTCCCTGCCAAATCGCTCAAACATTGAAATAGAAATCTTCGGCATGGACGGCATTCCCGCCGAGGATCTCAGGGATCACGAACGCCAAAAGAACGGTGGCAAGTCAGATTCAGACGATGATGAGCCGGTGGCCAAGAAAAAAGTGGAATGTAAGTAATTTTCCAAAGAAGAAATTCCGAGCAATCTTTAAATCTTAAATTATAGATGCCATGAGCGTACCGCCCCCTATGATGATGCCACCGAATATGATGCCGCCGCACATGCTGGGCCAATACGGCATGGGCATGATGCAACACATGCCGCCGCTGCCTCCGTACCCAGTACCTATGATGCCGCACATGATGCCGCCGCGTCCTCTGTTCCCGGCTGCCCTGGCCACCACATCGGCTGCGGCTGCTGCGGCAGCGGCCCATCACCACCACGCAGCCGCCATGGCCCAGCAAAAGCCAACATTTCCAGCTTACAGGTGGGCATCAATTAGGGGGAAACCACATTAAAATTAATTTTCGGCTTATTAGCACGTCCAAAGTGGTTTTTCTCCTTTAAACTGAGTCTCTGAAACAAGTTTTATGACTTATTTCTAGGCTTCATGTATATTAATTTTCACTAAACTTAACTTTCTTTCGTTTGTTAATAAAGTAATGCAACCATAAGTGCTCCGCCCACCACCAATCACGCTGGTGGTGCATCTAGTGCGCCACCAAGTGGTCCGCCAGATGCCCAGCAACACCAGCAGCGTCCACCGGCTCCGCCCGCAGCAGGCGGTGCTGCCGCCGCTGCTGTGACGACCAAGATCATGCACCCGCAGGAGGACCTCAGCCTGGAAGAGTTGCGTGCTCGGCAACCGAAAATACAGGCACGTCTGGCTGCCGCTTTGGCAGCCCTGGCGAATCCACAAAGCCGTAAGAGTCCCAGCAACAATGGCGGCGCTTCTTCGTCAATGCCCGCCACTCCGCCGCCTCCGTCACTGGCCGGGATTTCGCCGACGGGCAGCAATAGCAGCAGTGGCATGGCTAACGCGATTGCCGTCTCCACAGCCATGTCGAAGGCCCAGGAAGTGAGTTCTTATCATAGTTATAGAAACCATAGTCAATATAAATGAACAGACCGCGACGGAAACGACTTTCGGACGAAGATAAAACTGTACAAACCCAGCGGACTGAAACGCCGACGTGTAAAAAAGACAATTTCCAGAAAAAAAAGAAAAATTAAATAAAAGATTTGCACCTACAAAACCTGACTCAAACTTAAACGTCGACTGCATTTTGCGTTTTAAAAAAAATTCCATTTTTCCAAACTGGACAACAAGTTGTACCCATTACTGATACCAATTTTGGTTACAATTACGTTTTCTGTGCTATTTTCGTAAAATGCGATGCCGAAAATTACGTTTACTCGACCACAGCGTACGAAAGCAAACGGATTATAATACATAATTAAAAGAAAAACAACTTTTTTTAGCATATAGTATGATATATGTCTGTACAATTTTTTAATTAAACAAAGAAATTAATGGCAACAAAACAAACGAAACGGCGGTTTTCAATTTAACCAATTAAGGTTCTGTGATTTAAGGCAGCCTACCACAAAACCTAGAAAGTTTGATAGAAGGGAAATTGTATCTTGCCTCGGTCCCCCAACCTGAATACCTTTACAAAATCTGGAAAGGCAGTGCAGCTGCCCGTACTCATTGCATTTCTGCGATAAAGCAGAATTAATAATGCAATTCACCCTTTTTAGGGGTGTATCCCAGTAATAAAGAGATAAATATTTTTGGGGTGGGTCAATTTAAATGAAAATTAATTTGCCAGTATGTTCCCTAAAATCTTTAGACGTTGTTATTTTGGGCATTCGGTAAATTAATGAACATTTTAATTGAATATTTATACAATCCCTTCTCAGTTGCTTCTCAGTGTAGGAAACAAATCTCTATTCAGTTTTTGAAGGCTTTTTATTTGGTTGCTCCAAATAAATACTCCCCTCCTAGTGGTATGCGAGATAAATTCAATCGATTCCAAAAATTTTCTTACAGACCGCCGCTTTTGTAGCCGTGGCTCAGGCGCACGTCCACGCTGCCCAGGCTCAGGCCCAAGCTCAGGCCCAAGCTCAGGCCCAGGCCGTGGTCCAAGCCCAGGTGCAGGCGGCCCAGGTGGCCCACGCTGTGGCGGCCCAGCAGCAGGCAGTGGCACAGCAGCAACAGGCGGCAGTGCAGCAGCAGCAACAGGCAGCAGTGCAGCAGCAGCAACAGCAACAGGCCGTGGTGCAGCAACAACAGCAGCAGGCGGCGGCGGCTCAGCAGCAGCAGGTCAAGCAACTTGAGGAACTGAATCGGGCCGTTATGATCCAGCGCTTACAGGCTGCCCGGCAGCCGGCGAATCCTGGCGCTGCGGCAGCGGCTGCGGCGGCAGCAGCCGTCGGCATGGTAAGTCTCTAGTCCAGCGGGGCTGCGTATGCAAAACGTGAACCAGCAATCGAAAGAATGAACTTAACAAAATCGAATTCCAAGTGCTGAGAATCTCAATCTGTCAAAGACCACAAACGAACAAAAAAAAAAACGAAACCAAAATCTTGTGTCCCAGGGTGTTGCCCGAAAGCCAACGACAGCTTTTTCGAGCGGGTCAACCCGATATAGTTCAGAGCTTCGCCCTCACTTTCATGCTAATCACCATATATCTCAAATGTTATTCTAGATTAGTTGGGGGTCCAAAATTTAAATTTATTTCCAAGCTAGAAATGTATTTAAAAGGTTATCCAATTTCCACACTCACAAAACTAATCCTCAATTTTTGGCCGTTGACATCAAACGGAATCTTATGTGAATTTGTATTATTGTTCTTAACATTTATAAAAACGATTTAAAAGCTCATCAGCCAATTACATTATTTTTTTCTTTAGGAGGTAAAACTTTTCGATCATTTTGTGTAAATATTTATTTTGGCTAACAACAAGCGCTTATCAACACAATCACTTGAAATTTCCATTACTTTCCAAACAAATCACTTTTAACCAGCTTCTAAACAAGGGATTTTAACTGTCTCAACTTATAAGTCTTACATCACATCAAATTCTGAGCTGTGTTTAGCTTGAAAACCGAAAATTGTGTTTAAGTAACCGTTACAATTGCAGTACAGAGTACAGGAGTTCAGACTTGATAAGCGATAAAGAGTTGCAAGAGGTTTGCGCAGGGTCCGAACAGTGTTACAGTATGTATTGTTTTTGTACAACAACAAGTTTATCTTTCCCCCCCAAACCCAACCTAATCACTCCTCCCTCCCCAAAAAAAATAAACAAAACCAACTCACATCCCGCAAAATGATATGTGAAATGCAAAGTGCGCAATGCAACAAGATAAGTAAAAGCCAACAACTCCATTATATTCTTACTTAGTCGTACTTATGCAAGTAATTATGTAGTCTAAGCAAGTACCTACTCTCCTCTATCTCTCTCAACCGCTCACACCCATGCGTATATAATCCACAAGATCAATCCTGTCCCCAAGAAAGTTAATAGTACGTACTGCCTTGCAAGTAAACAGAAAACAATGAATTTACAATTATGATATTGAATGAGAAAAAAGTCGTGAGTTATGTTTTAACTATTTTGCAAGCCATGTAAGTACATTTCAATAATTTATATTACCAAAAAACAAAAAAAAAACAAAACAATTACTTTGAATTTGTCGTAATGGTTGCTGCGTTGGTTGGTTTAATTGATTGATGATTGATTGACTGGTTGATTGATTAATTCATATCCACAAAATATACACATGAATTAAGTAAGACTACACACCGCATTGATATGTCTCTCTCTATATCTCTATTACCTCGATAACTCCACCACCCGAAAAATACAAAAAAAAAAAAAAAAAATCAACTGAAAAATACGTCATAAGCATAAATATCTCTAAATGTTCTTTGATCTGTAAATTGTACTACCAAAATCAATGTTTTATGTTCCTAAAACCATGCATCTCTGTCTACCTTTCCCCAACATTCAAATCCCGGCCGATTACTGCCCGTTCCATCTTATTTCATACTAACATTCCATTCATCTGGTTTTATGCGCAGTACAAATGCTTATACACACAAGGTAGAGGACAATCGGTTGGAGATACCCCTCCTTTCATTTCCAACCGATGAGCTTGCCTCCTGACCTCCTCCTAACCCACTCTCACCCTCATCCAAACTCACAATCTTAGCCAAGTTTAAAACTAACTTATAACTGATAGATATTGGAACTTGAACTCGACCCCATGCCTCCGGTTAGTGAAATAAATTACTATTTCTTTCTCTTAAGTGCGAATACGATTATTTTGTTTACGTTGCTCCAATTGAAGTGCAACTCAAATATTAAGAAAGAACAAACCTTATATGGTTTGCAATGCAATCCCCTCACACCTTCTTCCACACCATCGTCGCCGTCAGTTCAGTTTCCGAATTGTAAGTACTTTTCTTTTTAAATCAACAACTATTTAATTACAAACCGAAAAAATAATATTGTTTTTACCATGGTGAGAAGAGAAGATGTCTCGCCTCTTCTCTCTGCTCTACTCAATATTCTACTCTATATATCTTGTCTCTGCTCTATCATACATTTGTAATGCGATGCAAAAAATGTTTTCCACCCACAACAAACCAAACACACATCCACACACCTCTTATCCATTTATTGAATAAGTTCGCAAAACCAACTTATTAATATTTTAAATGAAAAAAAAAAAACCAAACAACATAATTAATAACAACTTAGCTAATTTTGTGTACAATGGCTTCAATATAGACCTAGCTGAAGTGCCCTCAAAAATATTAATCCGAGCTATCGTTTCCATGCTCTTCTATATCTTTCTCTCCTCGTCCGATCCGTCACCTCCAGATGCCGTTACCTGGCCACATGCAGCTGATGCAGCCGATGCTGAGACCGATGGCGATTGGTCCCCATGGAGCGCTCATTGGCGGGAATATGCTAAGAGCAGCTGGTGCCCCTGGACTACACGGTATGCCGGCAGGTGAATAAATTTAATTTAGTCATTGCAATCTATCAGTAAGTTTGAATAGATATTAATATATGATTATTTTTCGTTTAGGTTTACTGCCCATGCAGGCGATCGGACTACCGGGGATGCCAGGTGCCTTGCCAGCTGGGGCGATGGCTATGCCGGGAATGGGCGTGATGCTGCAAGGACATCCAAACATGCTGCAGATGATGCAGCCGCGCTTCAGATGATGTCTGCCCGCAGCGCCGGGTCTGTTGCAGGCTCCAGCAGCCCAGCCGCCAACGCACCTGCAACCACATCCACAGCACGTGCAGCCATCGCGGCCGTTCTCGCGGACCACCGCCACCGCCGCTCTGCAGGCTCAGCCGCCGCTTTTGAGCTTGCCGCTGCCACTGCTTTTTCACGAGTGAGGCAAGGATCATGCTTATAGATTGCAAGCGGCAAACATCGCGCACTCAGCAAGCAAGTTGTTTTGAAAACTCAAACCAAAGTCAAGTTCTTTTTCAATGTATAACAGTTTTTGAGACAAAACACCCTCAACACACACAAACCAACACACACACACAAAAACTTCTCGGCCACACGCTACCCACTAATCAGCGGTTATGCCTAGTAAACCAGTCGATGTCATATACTATATATTTCGTTCATATAATGCACTCCATTCTAGCTTTTGTTCCTATCCAAATTGTTTCAATTTCCTAATCTGATCTTCTCGATGTGCGTGCATAAATACATCTTTTAGATATACTTTTTCGTGATCTTTGTATAACACAATGTACTCCACTGCTAACCCACAAACACTAACACAAACCATCTGAAGCTACTTTGCTGTGCTGTAGATCTCTATCTTTTATCTGTATCTATATTTGTATAATCAGCAATTAATCGTTGACACTAAATCTATACACACTTCTGTTTTTTAACATTCTCTTTCTTTTTTTTAGTTTCATTTAGTGAGCATATATTTTAAACACACCCACACACACACTCAAGTTGTTTAATTATATCTTCTCCAAAAACAAATGAAATCCGAAAAGAAAAGAAAATCCTCGGAATCACACAAAAATCAAATCCAAAAAAAAAAACCTGAACGCTCAAAGCTCTCGGTATGTTGACAATTGCCATATGCAGCATTTTTGTGTTGTTTTTGTGTTATTCGTGCGTAATTTATACTTTCGATTCTTTCTGTCCATGTGAAATGCTCTGCAAACTGTTACACTGTTAAACAATTCATACCACTTATGTTCAGGCCCCATGTTGTCTAGACCTTCGTTCATTCGTTCAGTTGCGGCTGACAAAAAGTAAGTCCTATCTTTCTTTACATAGTATATTTAACGATATACAAACATATTTATAAATATTTCAATTCTCAATATTTCTTTGTATCGTTTCGGTTCCTTTGGTATGTAATATATATTTGGTGTGTGTCATCGCGAGACAACAGATCAGAGCAGGTATCTACATACAAATTGTTTTCCTTTTTAATTACTATATATGCATATGAAATACTATCTATTCTAAGTCATTTGGTTATGGTATGGTTGGTACTAAACAGCAACAACATCTAAGCAAAAAATTATTAAACAATATATCCATCCCCAATCGAACCGCTACATAGCTTATAGAGTTACCTATAGGACACATCTAGTTAGGAATTTCTCACATGTTAGTAGTACACTCGATACATTGTTTCGGGATTGATCTTAATGGTTTTGTTTTGTTGTTACCGTAGCATTCTTCCAAAGTTCCCAGTTAACTAGCTTCCTTTCCACAACTTCAACTAGTTTTTGAACTAATAAAAATAATAATACTCGAGAGCTCCACCCATCTAAGAGACGCTCAGGCTTTTGTTAATCCGATGGTAATCATATAACCGTTTTTAGATAGCATAAGTAGTCGGTTGACAGTTGAAGAGTACTAGTCGTATACCCATTTGTTTAGTTATGTTTCTGGAAAGCAGCATGAATCAGATTGTTCTCCATGACCCGAGATCGTAAAATACTCCCCATACTCGACCCAGTGTAGCCCAGGGTAGTTAAACTTAGCACTCAGATCCCTGGATAGCACCACACGCATCACCTAACTCAACTAACACCCACTCCTGTTTGAGTATACCTATAGTACACACTCGTAACCCAACCATTTAACCATATATCTATGTATAAATACATGTATTAATGTAACTATACCGTGTAATTTAATCATAAGCAATGACAAGTGAAAAACTGCCCAAGGAGACGCGATTGAATCCGAATAATCCCCTCGCTCGGGCCAGTTTAGCGCAAAATTGATGTTGGACTTTTGGGTCTGGCAAATTCGCCGCACCGTCATCGGGATATCGCCGGCCATATCCAATTTCGTTGGCCCGGTTCGATAGTCCTGCGGTGTTAGAACGGCGTGCTTCAGACGAGAGTACCTCAATGCAAGTCAGACAATTCCAGATTCGGTGGCAATACTACTCCTATACGATTCACACACTCCTCGACTAAAATCGCATCTGTACACAGTCGTTATAATCGTAGAATAAATTCTCTCTTTCTCTGGACTTTGTAAATATTTGATGGACGCATTTCATTTCGTAGAGTTGCTATTTTCCTTTCACTTGTCTTTAGTTTCTGTCGGGAATGCAAACTAAATCAAAATTTTTTTAAACAATTCTTTTTAGACTTTACAATAATTTTAAAAAATTTTTTAAAATACACAAAAAAAAAGTAAAATAAGAGTTAAAATTTATCAGTCTTTGATTTGCTGTTTTAAAATACATTTTTTTTTTAAATTTAAAGCTGTGTTAATTGAGTGTCAAGTTATTATATATTGTTATTTTTTTTAAAAAGCTTTAGTTATGCTTGCATTTCCCGTCTGTAGTCTATTTTTGGTATTCTTATTTGGTGGTGGTCATACAAAATTTTTCCAAATTGTTGCTTTTTACTTTTTGATTACAAATAAATATCTTACTGTAAGACTCTATCCATACAATGCACGCGTTCGTTTGAAAAGAGTAATACAGCTTAAAGGCTACAAGTTTTGTAAACATTTAATGGGCTTTAGGTGTTTTGCGAAAAGAAATGAAAACTATGAACTAAGAATTACAATTTAGTCCACCAATCTGTCTGACTTTGCGCTGGGCGACACGCGAGTAGCTGGACAAATGGCAGTCACTGTAATACTAAACCCCACACACAACCGATCCAAAAGCGTAAACGTCTGCTGCATTCAGTCGAAAGCGTGTCACATTAATTTTGCTGAGCGAAAAGTCCCCTGCGTCCGTGCTCCCCCCTTCTATCTATATATCTATAAATAAGTGGTATATGTCTATCTTTGGATTATGTTTTGCATGCCCAGAAGAGTATGCCTTCCGACCACAAGTACAAGTTCAAACCGGACGCAGGCGATGTGCCGGAGTTTAGTCAGGAATTATACGGCTTTGTCCAGTATATTCGCAAACCTGAGACGAAGGCACATCATAGTTATTGAGCTAACTGTTGGACTTTTCGGTCCTTGTCATGCGACTATTCAATCGTTGTTACCACACGCATAACACCACTACTATAACTTTTGATATCAGTCGAATCGCGCATTGCAAACGCGTCTTGAACAATCCACACAATCCGGCGGCAAATTCACCAACCACATCGACCACACCATTTCTCAGCATCCGAATGAAGATGGATCCGAAAGAGATTTACTATAAAGTTTGTTTACACATTTTGTTCAGTGTTAATTTACTCATTTTTTTAATGGAAAAATAATTCATAATGCTTTGATAGTTGCAACTACCTTTTGGGAAAGTGTTTCAAGATCGAACAACTTTAAAACTAATGATGAACGATAAGAATTTGTTTTGCCAAAGATCTTTGAAGCTTTCGACCAAAGATTTTTTAAAATTAATCTTTGAATAAAAATAAATGTTTACCATGTTTATATTTTTCATAAGCTTTAAACCATTTTTGTTGCATTTACTCTTAACTGAAGCTTACGGTATTAACAAATCGATTTTTCCTTATCCATTTCTGTTCGTTCAACAAATAATCACACAAATACTTAGCTAATGCCTATACTATACTTAGTGCAAATGCATAAAATCAAAAACCAATAAGTTTGCCTATGTTAAATCATTTTTAATGTTGTAATGTAAATGAAAGATGCAAAAACCAGGAAAAAAACAAAAGAATTATTTTTAGCATTCTTCTACGTAAGATGTTTTACCAAAACGGAAAAAAAAGTATGCAAGGAACAAGTTATATAAGCAATTGTTTAAATTCTTTTAAACTAAATAAAAAGCAAAACCTACTATTAGAACAACAAAAATGCATAATAATAATATTTCTAGTTTAATGTTTCGATTGTTCTCTATTTTTTTGAAATTAATTTATTGAAATTTTAATAAATCGAATAAAAATGAACTTACACCACTTTTATTGGGAGGACTTGGGTTTTTAAATCTGTTCATCTTAATTGTAAAGCTCAAAAAACCTGAGTAACTGACTCATTGGGATATCCCCAATTAGTTTCTTTAGTGAATCAATCAGAAGTCGATTCATTTTTGAAGTAAGCCAAGACCTTTCTAGATCTTGTTCTATGTTGATTATCCAGCAAATAAATTAATAGATAATTTCATGTATAGATTAAATTACGCAAGCTAACAGGAAAATTACTCGGACTTGGGCTTGTCTAAGATCGTTTCGTGTTTATGGGTCGCTAATAAATAAACAGTAGGCCTGCGATGGCATAAGGCGTTTGTGGGAGTATTTTCAGGGGCTTGTCAATCGCAGGGCCACAGCTTGAGATTTTAATGGCTGGATTTATATAACCGTGGCGTGGGAGTTATGCATATTATTTGTGGGATAGCCCAGGGAGCGTGCCAAAAATTACTTTAATTCCTTTCCAGCGTGCTAAACCGTCTTAACGCTGACTAATTCAAGTTCAGTCGAATTCCAAGAGAGCGGGAACCACTCACGCAGACCGGTCTCAACAAAAAGTTGACTTGACTCGGCGACTCGGTTGACTTTTAGTTTCGTTTTGAGTCTCGACGCTGGCGGTTGTGTGGCTGCTGTTTTCGTGATCTTTAAAAGGTGTGTTAAGTGCCGACCCGAACTGTTGACATTTGGTAAAGATTTGTCCAGCAATCAAATAAACTCGGCGGTCATAAAACCGCAACCAGGGCCAAACGAAAGATTCAAAGCACAAACTCTGATCAACCAAACTCTATTCGAGTCAGCCAGGTGACAAGGTTTGCATAACTGGAGTTGGCCCGAATCTCTGTTGCTTTTAAGCCGTTCGCAATTGTCGTCCACTTGGTTGTAACAAAAATCAGAAAACAAAACTCAAGCTGAAACAAAAACAAACCAAATAAAAATAACGTGTTAAGTAATGGCTAACAAAAATAGAAATGATAGAAAAACCCAAACTGTAAATCTATGCCGTTCCATTGCAGTTAAGGCGGCTTAAAAACCATTAATAATGAAATAACATTTTTAATAACATGCTGCTCAGACCCGCCCACAATTATTAACGGAATGGAAAGAAAGTATCTTTTTTTAGCTGACTCACCTAAAAAAAACTTGAAAAATGCGTGCACAAAACGTTCATAATCGAAAATATGCCCAGATCATAAATAACATTTTTTTGATGGAACAATCGGGGAGAATGGCGGTCAGCCAAAGTGTTCTCATATAGAAATGCTAATGGCGGAATTGCGAGACTCGACTTGAATTCGAATGATGAGGTCGAGTGTCTGAAGCATGGATATACTCGTATATAGAGATGGTGCTCTAAAAACAAAGAAAAAAAGGTTGAATGAGCTGCCGGACAGCTTGAGATGTGATGAAGAAGGTTCATTAATGTTAAACATTCCCTAAAAAATGGGTATCCAAAACTTTGGTGAACTTACTCGAACACGTTCTGATTTTGTGGTTAGATAAGTACCTCAAGACTCGCTTTTAACCACAAAAAAATTTTGTTGCTTGGCAACTTAGCCAGAATTTGGCCGTCTCTGAAAAAAAACAAAGACAACTTTCAAATAACCGAGCAAAACCAAAGACAAAGTGTGACTCACACAAAGAATAAGAAGGCCAACAAAACGGCGGAGGCTGGGCCAAAGTGACAATATTAAGCGTTTATGAGGTCTTTAGCAAATAAATATAATTAATAATAAGCGTAAAAACTTTAAAAGTTATGCAGAAAAATGTCTTATATTTATTAGAAATAATTTAAAATGGGTGTATATCTCAAAAAATAATCAACGATTTATTGAACCAAATTAATTTAATCTGAACTCGGTTTTTTGAGTGCCTGATCGGGTTGATTTTATGGCTTGGACAAGGCCGTTGCGGCTTAACGGAAGCTTAAATGAGTGGAGCAGACAATTTTAATTGATTTTTGTGCTTTCAGTGAATTTATTAGAGCCATGCTGCGAGTCAGTTTGGGATTGCTCCTCCTGTGGGCAGTGGCTACTTTGGGAAACGACAATCTTCGCGTGGCGTACGAATGGCGGGAAATGGACTTCAAGTACGCCGATCCCGACCAGAGATGGACGGCCATCGAGCGGGGTGATTTTAAGCCGGCCAATGTGATTCCCTTTGGCCTGGAGGTCGCCGGCCATCGGCTCTTTGTCACTTTGCCCAGATGGAGGGCCGGAGTGCCGGCCTCGTTGGCCTACCTTGATCTTAATGGTAAGCGCATGAGTTGCTTGAGTTGCATTGTTGCAGCTGCCACAGCATTTCAACTTGAATATAATTGCCGCCTGCAATTGCACTATGTGTGCCAAGAACTGATCTCAGATCTCGAAATCTCGGTTCTCGGATCTCACAGATCTCAGCAATTGTTTTGTCTGATCAACTTGACCATCCAAACAATTCAGTTTCCTTTCGCACTTGCGGCAATTAGCATGGTAATTCCACGCGACGTCATCGTTAACTGTCTAAAAACAACAGTACACCACAAATCGGTGGATACCAGCTATGTGTACATATATACTTGTATATTGGATCATTTGGTTTTTTGTGTGTGGGGGCTGAGAAATGCGGACAATAAACATTCACATTTAGTCTTAGCAATTACAATGAAAGGCCACAAAATTTAGAAATATATTACAAATGAGTTCATGAATTTAAGTTGAACTACATTTTATTTCTCCCGCCTATATTATATGCTAATCTACATATTCCCGTATATAAATGATTCCAGTCAAAGCACATAAATAAAGTTACTTTACCTTTTACCGCCACACAACAAGGCAAGTGGGCAGTTGCCTTAGCCACAACTCAATCTCAGCTTATTAGCCAGTTAATCAATGTAGACATGTGCAAATGCAAAGCTTCAGTGCGGATTACTCATCAACAGTCGACCAATGTACTTCCAAATTGTGTCGACAATCTAATTAGCGGCACCCAAAACAAAAAGCAATGCAAATGACCAAATTTTATACAACGACAGAAATAAGATGACTGTTAACTGCTCACAAATATATTTGTAAGCCTCTAATTCAGAATAAAGTAAAATGCAAAATATATATAATGCTCTCTTGTTGTTTTTAAACATAATAATATTAAATTGAAAATAAATATATATATTCTTTATTTTTCAACAGATACTTCAAGCAAGAGTCCTGCATTGAAGCCATACCCCAGCTGGCAGGCTCACAATCTCAACGATGCCGAACCGGAGTTGGTTTCTGCTTTCCGAGTGCGAGCTGATCGCTGCGGACGCCTCTGGGTTCTGGACTCTCGGATCTCTGGAGTTCTGGAGCAGACCAAGATTTACGGAGCACCCCAGTTGTCGGTCTACGATCTGCACAATGATGATCTGCTGAGGCGCCATGTTCTTCCCGCCGATCAGTTGAAGCAGGGATCCCTGTTTTCCAATCTGGCGGTGGAGGACTCCGATTGCGAGAACACCTATGCCTATGCAGCGGATCTGGGCAGTCCTGGCTTGGTGGTCTACTCGTGGAAGGACCAGGAATCTTGGCGTGTGCACCACCACTTCTTCCACCCCGATCCAATGGCTGGTAACTTCAGCATCAATGGCATTGAGTTCCAATGGGATGATGGTCTCTACGGTCTGGCTTTGTCGAAACCTCTGGAAACGGGCTACTCCACATTGTACTTCCATCCACTGTGCTCCACCATGGAATTCTCGGTGGATACAGGAATATTGCGTAACAAAACCCTGGCCACTTCACCGATGATTTATCGGGAGTTCAATGTGTTGGGCTCCAGAGGTCCAAACACCCAGGCAGGAGCAGAATTTTTGGATCCGGAAACCGGTGTCCTTTTCTACGCCCTCCCCAATCAGAATGAAGTTGCCTGCTGGCGCACTGCCACCGAATTTAAACACAGCACTCAGAGTCGCATCTACAGGAGCAATGATACGCTGATTTTCCCCAGTGACATCAAAGTCGACGATCAGAAACGTCTGTGGGTCCTTTCAAATCAGTTACCCGTCTTTATCTACGATGAATTGTATCCCGGTTCCATTAACTTCCGCATTTTCACTGCCAGTGTAAAGGAGGCCATCGAGAACACGGCTTGTGAAATCAGAACCTCCCCTTTGCCAGATGTTATCAACAAGATCGGGGATATACTCAACACGAATATCAAATTGAAGTCCAGTTCGGCGGCTTCCCTGAGTAATTTAGGAGCACTGATGATTTCTGGCTTCTGTTTGCTTTTGAGCTTTAGGATGTAAAACCCAACGTACAAAAATATCTGGCGCACTCAAAGAAATAATTTTAAAATTATTTTTAAAACGTCTTAGAAACACAAAAGGTTCAGAAATTCAAAAACAAATCTTCGGTGGTTTTAACAACATTTTTTAATTCTACAATGTAAGAAATATATATTTATTTGAGTGCATCTGTATTATGTTAAGTTTTAGGCTAAGAAAACTGTAACTTTGTTCGTGATGTTGATTAAATGTGAGAAGTATATTTGAATAGTTTTCTTCATACTTCCTAGGAGAAACCAAGCCAGCTTGTCTCCTAAATCAATATTTTGTTGTCCCCTTATCTTTCTTTTTATAAGCAATCGCTATATCGATGGTCTCATCACTAGTTTGTGACTCATTGTCCTCTAGTTTTTCGGCCAATTTCTTCTGCTCCTTGTCCTGCATTCTCTTAATGAATCCACCGCAGAAGAAGAGAGTCAGCTGAAGGGAAACAAAATATTAGTAGAATCCAGTGCTACGATATATTTTTACATACGTGTTCTAGTATTCCAATCAACCCAAGAACAGAAAGACCCAGCAGAAAGCCAAGGGAACCACCCACATCAGCTATAAATTGTGTGGTATCGTAGCTTGGACGCTCTTCAATCATCTGCAAAAGGTAATAGATTTAATCAACATTCAATACATAAAATAGTATATAGTACCGATATCAGTTTGGTTGTGTAGTAAATATATATTTGTGTGCGTGGCTCCGGTTGGTTAAAGGCCTTTCGGTTCTGAATAAAGGTGGTATAGATTCTCGACTGGCAGGGCTGAACACAGTTGCAGTCGAAGTCATCTTCATTTTCATAAACACTGCACAAAAAAAAGTTAATTGTTTAAAATCTCTTCGCATTGTATGACTCACTCGTGATAATCCGATATTAATTTCCTCATAGAAACCGAATCATTGCAGGGTTCACTTTCGATTTCCTGCATCCAGGGTCCTGAACACTGAAAATTATCCGCCAAATCTTGCCAGATGCACTGTTCTCCACACTGAAAGAACTTTAAAAGGTTAACTTATAGATGGGTATTACTTTCGAAAGTACCTTCAAGTCACTGTAGTTCTCATCAGAGGAACACGCCTCTGTGCGTGTCTGAACATTCGAAAAGTATTGGGTTTGCAGCTTGATCTCAATTTCCTCGTTAACACCCACGAAAATGTATTCCACACGCCCAGAACCCTTCATATTGATTTCTATTGAGTGTAAGAAATTGAGAACATGTAAATGAATTTTAGGTAATTGTGGGCTTACCTGTGAAATTCTCCTTCTTATCGTGTATGAATACATGCCAACCGACACTTCCTGTATCAATATCGCTGGTGGAAGTGGTCAGCATGGAATGTTCTAGCATTATGGAGTAGCCCACTGCTTTGGAAACCCTCTTGGCGGGCTCCTTCGGTCGAAGGGTAAAGCAACGACCCATATAAAAATGTAAACTGGTATTCATATCCACATCTAAGCAAAGTCAATATGACATATTTAAGGTTAATACATTAAAAAATGTTGGTCAACTCACTATTTGGATTTTCGTTTAGTCCGTAAAACACAAAAGTATCGCTCATATCATGAGTGCTATTTTCAAAAAACTCGTCCAAGGAAATTTCTCCAAAGGGATAGTTCATCCAGCAGGTTGCGTACTTTGGATGAGGACAGGCGCCGCCGGAAAGTTTCTACAATAAAATATTCATATGAATCCATAAATAGTTTATATCCATTGCTTTCGCTGATATTTTGTATATATGTCCTATTTTCTGGATCCACTCACAGTAAGGACATCCTCTTTATAGGGCGGTTCCCGGCATATGGTAACCGCTGGCATTTCAATAGTTTCGTTGAGATTGTAGTAGGAATGAGTGGAGATGGGAGGATCGTAGAGCTTGGAGAAGCACTCGTACAACTGGACAATGACCACAATGCAGCAGGCGAAGAGCACCAGGTAGCGGATGAGCTTGGCTGGATCGCGGAAGAGCCAGGCCCGAGTCTCTGACCAGTAACCCATGTCGTGCGGAAAGTGAAACTCGAGTGAGGTCGCTGGTTGCCAAATACCAGTTACCAGTTTCTGTCATGGCTGAGGGCTCTGGCCAATATCTTTGGGCCAGGCAGCCTGCGCGAATTCTCACAGTTGGTCAAGATAAGCCTAATATTGATTTACATTCCGTGGTGGCGATAAAGCTCCATGAACCCATCGACGGGGACTATGGCCGTGATTATGTCCGTTGTTTGCAAAACACTGTAGTGCCGCGAATCTAAGCGTAACATTACCAAAACATGTTGTTTATAATTGTCTGTGCCGGGCAGATAGATACGCTATATCTTCAGTATCTGTATCTGCAGCTGAAATCACCGCTATGGTATGGTAACCTTTTTATGGTTTTATGTTAGTTGACTTTTCTAACCGATGGCATTATAAATTTGTAGCGATTGTATGAGTTTTCTAGGTTTCATTGAAATACATCAAGTGTTATGTATGGAGCTACAATTTCTTCAAATATTTGGTCATAAAAATTGAGTATTTGTTGGGTGTTTTTATTATTATTGCCTACATCAGAATAATACCCAAAACATGCCTAACATTTTAATTATTGGTTTATTGGTGAACAAAGATATAATGCTAATGATAACTGCTTTGCTTCATAAAATCGAAATATCATCGACATTATTTATTATAACGCTGAAAACAAATCATGTTCCAAACAAAGTCCTTATGTAAACCCCCTTTTGCGATACCTTAGTGTATCATCAAGGCACCTCGCACGGGAATAGTTTGACCTTATAGACAGCCAAAGCTAAATCTATGCAAACACCTAGCCATTAGCGAACCATGTATTTGGAAACTATATAAACAGATTGGGATATATAGCCAGAGCTTTCGGGCACAAACAAACAATGCGTGGTGGATCCAGTTAGATCGAGGAGAAGAGTCGTTCTAGAAATTCCTCAGTTGTGACGTTAAGTCGGAGCAGCAGAAACATCGCCCCAAACCGACCCACTGCTATATATCCAAGCCCCTATATACTCGCTATGTACATGCTGGGAAAGTCAAAAAAAAAAAAAAAAAAAAAAAATAGAAGAACTAATAAACAAAAAGAAACTTGCTACTAAAAATAGACAAATTGAAACATTTCATGAGATGAAAACACCAACACAACGTGGACATGAACGTGCTGACGAGCACGGCAAAAAAAATACAGAAAAAAGAGTGTTTCTTTACTGTTCGGGCACAGATACGATCGCATGAGATCCGTGTATCTGTGGTATCTATGAGATATGTTGACGGACTTGTCGGTCGGCGTACCACACGGCGTATGCGTTCTGCGCCCGCCGATTCGTATAGTTAGTGCCCAGGACGCGGTCCCTGTGTGTGCGAGTGTGTATCTAGTAAATTTTAAATTCTAGATACTCTCGAATACATAGAGAACTGCAGAGTAGAGCGAGGAGAACGTCCACGTTCGCTTGTGTTGAACTTCTTCGCAACTAAATAGCTTTTGCTTTAAATTTAGAACACAGCGGCGGCTATATTAAACGCATATGAAATGTTTTTTAGATTCAGTAGGTATGCTGGCAAGGTATATAGAGAATCCACCATATACGTGTACAACTAGTACGAGGTCCTACACCCGATATTTGAAGAACTCTACCTGCCGTTTCATTATTTTATATTATCTGGCCCCAAAACTTTCAAACTTTTCATACATATTTCAACCGTGCCACAAGCATATGGTCTTCCTGCGATTTTTGGAGTATGAAATATGTTTTAAAAATACCCATTCCTTGTCGCTCATAAATTTCTAAAAACAAAATCGAAAAATACTTTTACATTCGGCTCGGTACTGTCTCATTTCCATGCTGTCTATATGGCTGTACATTATTAATCAGACCGCATACACACATTGCGCGCAGAGGCGTCTGAAAAGAGGAGGAATTGCCCCCCTCGGAATGGAAAATGTTTTCATTTACCATTTTCACTCATCATTAATAATAGTCTCGACGCTATATAGACTTCGATTATTGCAATTCGCTGCACTTGAGTTCTATAGTATGGCGGCTATATAGTCGATTCTTTGCTTGGCTGCCTGAGTACTTGGCTGCAGTCGGTTTAATTGGGTGACAAATGCTTACAGAAATAATTTTTAATGCTCCACACATCAGTGACTAATACTTAATGATTCGATTGGATTGGCTAATTAATTAGCAATAGATGGCATCTGTATACAACTATGAGTTCAGCTATAAGTAGATAATGCCTCTGTGGTTTGGTTTTGCATTATGCGTGTGCGATTTCCAATTGAGCCCAAGCAATTAATCATTTCGGACCACACGGGTCCACGTTAACACCCAACTGCGAGCTGGGAAACGTTTTTCCAATTTATAGATTGCATAAATACGTAAACAAAATTGTGTATTAGATAAATAAACATTAGCAACCACAACGTGTTTTCCATGGTGGGAATAGCTTAACCGAAATGATATCATAGGTGTGGGAAAAATGACTAGAATCTTGTGCTAAAAACAACTTAAGTCTTACAAATAACTAACTGATTCAACCATAAAATTAATTACTTTTAATTTGAACGAATATTCTAAATTTCTAAATCAATGCTCCCATGAATCTCACCGATGAATCTTGATTAAAATTTATGTTCTAACAATGTTGTTAATACAGCAAATTTTTTAATCAAACTTAGACCGTTTTTAAAAATTAATTTTTTTATCGAGATGGTTTTTCATAGTTGAAGATAATTTTAAATTTATTGGTTTTTATGACAGAGTTCCTTAGTTTAAGTACAATTTTGTAGGGGTATAGAAATTGAATTAAATTTAATTTTGAATTTATTTTTTTTTTTTGGTTGCTTTACTTAACAGTGATCAATCATGAAACAAGGAACCCCATTTACTAACCATAGAAATGTTTAGTATTTTTGTGTCTTGACTCAAGGATTGACAGTTGCAAGTGCATGTGTCAGGTCTCCCTTCCATCGCTCCATTTCGAAAAGAATTTGCAAGGCGATTAATTACCCGACGTTTCGTACTACTGTTGCATAACCCACACGTAATGCAGGAAGTATTCATTCATTTGACATGCCATGTGCTACCTGGCAACGTACCTCCCCTTTCCCGCTGCTCACTCCTCCAACCATCTAGGCTCGCTAAATCATTTGCGAAATTAAGAGAGATCTCTCGGGTATTGGGTGTGGGCATGGGAATACTTTTTGGATCGGTGCACCAGAGATGCGATGCAGATGCCTTCGGAGTGCACGACGTTGACCGACGATCGGCGCTCGAGGATTACGGATCACGGTTTGGGGGTTGGGGCTTCGGAAATGGGGAGCAACTGGCCGACGATGGATATTTTTATATCGACAATTTGGATGGGTTCCAATGCATTTAGACGAGAGTTAACTATAGATTGTGTATGTATTTTGGTCACGGTTGGCGTTTTTTAAATATTTTTATTTATCTGAACAATTTGTTGTGCAAAATTTTTCGGGAATACCATTATACGAAAAATAGGGCGGGTTTCTGAAATCTAGAAATTAAAACTGATTGGGCGAAAAACAATAGAAATGGGACGCATTTGCACTAATTTTCAGGGCAGCATATAATATTTGGTAGGATACAGTACTTCCTAGAAATAAAGTTCGTTTTATAATAATGTATATTTTAATTAATCTATCAGTTTAATAAATAAAATCTTTATCAGAACCTCTTAAACAATATGTGTATTAAAACCAACATTAAATTAATATTTGTTCATTTTGTAAAATCAAGCCGGTCACCTAAAATTTTAAAGAATTTATTAAATAAATGCTTTCTACTTTATAATAAAACAAATAACAAGAGATCGTGTTTTTTTTTTTTAAATAGATTAAATTATATTATTTATTAATTTTTAATTATTTATAGATAAAATGCTGCCTTGGTGTTTGCCATATATAGGTCAACTTCTATGCTAATTCATTTGCGATTAATTGCTGGGCTCGCCATCGTTGATGATGATTTATGATCCGTTGTGCAAGCGGGCAGAAGTCTAATAGAAAAGCAATTTGCAAATGATCCACTAACCGACTTGGGGGTTCAGGTATACCCCACACGCATGTGGTTGATGTTTTTACGCCTTCCCTGTGATCTGCGTTTGTATGGCCCCACCAACAAATGCCATTCAATGTGCCTTCTATTTGGCAGCGGCTACGGGTTAGACTCGGTGGTGCTGGTGGTGCAGGTGCGGAGGAGGACCTCGAGCATCACAGTGTGGCGGCAGTTTTGAAATAGCCCATTGCAAGCAATAATTGTTGCTGCCTCGTGTAGACAAGCACCACTGAACCACCCCCCCGCCACCCAGAAAAAAATCGAGGGAGGCCGCCTTTGCCAAAATACACAAGAAGAAGCAACCGCATCTTGACACTAAAATGCAAAAATTGCTTTGCGTCAATGACTCAAAACGAAAATGTGTTTTAACTTTTTTTACAAAAAAAAGGGGAACATTTGAATTGGGTTGGATTGGGGCATTTTGCCTTGAGTACTTAAAGGATGAAAGGAACCATCTAGAATTAGTTTAAAATGCCCCTTGTGAGACTGATAATTTATGACCATTGCATGTTTATTCCTTATTTATATCCAACACATGTATTTGCGAATATAGATTGTACATTCCGATCAAACAAATCGTATGATATAAATTAACAATAAATCCTATGCCTTTTTCCTTAATTATTGTTCATCTCACAAATTGTTTAAGATGTCTAGCTTATGTTTTTGCCAACAATTCCTGTCGACAATGTCACAGATTCTGTTTCAGAGACTTAACAGAAATTATGATAACTTTATATGTGAGAAAAAAAATTGAGAACAGCATCCCCAGCCCAAACAATAAAAGCAAAAAGCACTCACACTTGAAAGAGAACTAAAACTTTTTCAAACTATAAATATTCCCAACAAAATTTTTGAATGTTGTTTTTGTCAGAATTTATGCGTTGTTGCTTTTTGCGTATTCTTTTTCCGCTACACTTTGTTGTTTGTTAAATTTCAAATATTTTGAGCGCTTCAACCCATTATGAAAAGTATTTGTCGGATCCCTTGCAGTGGGTGTATTTTAATATATTTTTTTTGTATTTCGGTTCGCATATTTTTTCTGCCAAAAATATTGCATCTGTTGCTCTGTAATTGGATGAAAATTATGAATAATTTTTGTGT